AGACATACACTCACTGACGTACATACACACACTGACAGACACACCACATACACTCACTCACTGACAGACACACTGACATACATACACACGCTGACAGACACACCACATACACTCACTCACTGACTGACAGACACACTCACAGACACTCACTGATAGTCAAACACTTACCTCCCTGGGGTCCTGTGTGAGGCAGCTCTCCACTCATCCCACCCGCTGTTTAGTATGCTGGGGCTGGAATGACGTCATATTCCTGTTCCCGGCATCACAGAGGGCATGCGAGGGAGGAGTGAGAGACTGCTAGAACAGCCTCCCTCGCCGCCTGCATTCTGGATCGAGCACCGGCATTTGATGGCAAAGCAGGCACTTGTCATACTGAAGGACAACTTAGGGGGCACCTCCTGGGGCCCCCCTGTAACAGTGCTCCTCTGGGCGCCCCCACCTTCGGGTGCCTAGAGGATTGGCCCGGTGCTGAGGGTGGGTGGCTCAAGAGCCGCTCGCCCAGCACTGCGGTGCAAGACAGGGGGAGCAGGTCGGCGCCCTAGGCGAATGCTTAGTTCGCCTAACAGTGGAGCCGGCCCTGGGTATCTCTCTATTGTACCCAGCTCTGTGTATTGTATAGCTATCTTTGTATTGCACCCAGCTCTGTGTATGGTATAGATAGCTCTGCGTTGTGCCCAGCTCTGTGTATTGTATAGGTATCTCTGTATTGTGTCTGGCTCTGTGTATTGTATAGGTATTGTACATATACAATACTCTGGCTCTGTGTATTGTATAGATATCGCTGAATTGTACCAAGCTCTGTGTATTTTATAGGTATCTCTGTATTGTGTCCAGCTCTGTGTATTGTATAGGTATCTCTGTGTTGTTCCCAGCTCTGTGTATTGTATAGGTATCTCTGTATTGTATCCAGCTCTGTGTGTTGTATAGGTATCTCTATATTGTGTCCAGCTCTGTGTATTGTATAGGTATCTCTGTATTGTACCCAGCTCTGTGTATTATATAGGTATGTCTGTATTGTGCCCAGCTCTGTGTATTGTATAGGTATCTCTGTATTGTATCCAGCTCCGTGTATTGTATAGGTATCTCTGTATTGTGTCCAGCTCCGTGTATTGTATAGGTATCTCTGTATTGTGTCCAGCTCCGTGTATTGTATAGGTATCTCTGTATTGTGTCCAGCTCCGTGTATTGTATAGGTATCTCTGTATTGTGTCCAGCTCTGTGTATTGTATAGGTATCTCTGTATTGTGTCCAGCTCTGTGTATTGTATAGGTATTGCTGAATTGTGTCCAGCTCTGTGTATTGTATAGGTATCTCTGTATTGTGTCCAGCTCTGTGTATTGTATAGCTATCTCTGTATTGTGTCCAGCTCTGTGTATTGTATAGGTATCTCTGTATTGTACCCAGCTCTGTGTATAGTATAGCTATCTTTGTATTGCACCCAGCTCTGTGTATGGTATAGATAGCTCTGCGTTGTGCCCAGCTCTGTGTATTGTATAGGTATCTCTGTATTGTGTCCGGCTCTGTGTATTGTATAGGTATTGTACATATACAATACTTGTAAAAGTATTGTACCCAGCTCTGTGTATTGTATAGGTATCTCTGTATTGT